CAGGACACCACTGACTCTGAAGAAGAGGTGGAAGAATGACGCCACCGGGTGTCTACTGAGGGGATTACAATCAACAACATCAAAAATTAAAAAAGACGTGTTTGGTTATGTTGTTCATAACAGCTTGGGGCTTTTATTATTTAACAAAATTCAAACAATATTTTTGTATATTTAAACTTGTGTTTTTCTCGATATCTTCTTCAGTCTCTGTTTTTTATTTCAGCTGCTGAACTCACTTCAGATTCTTGGACTTTTTCCCTGCTTCGTCCTCTGCGTCGAACAGAGACACGTCCTCATCGTTGGGGTCCTGGGACAGAACCGGAAGAAGTTCAATCCTCAGGGAAAGAAACTAACTCTAAAAATAATCATTTGTTTACAACTGACTTGGTCGCAGGTCATGTTTCTCTGAAGTGTGCAACAACAACATTATCATGGGGATAGTGTGTGTGTCTTTCAGTTTCAGAGTTCCATTGCCATTGTACATACACACACAACAACAGCAACGTTTCTCCTTCGCATCTGTTGAACAGTGTTCTATTTGTTATATTATGCTACTGTCGAACATAGCTGATAGCTAAAACTAAAGATTAAAACGGCTGAGGTTTGTCAAAAATCAATAAACTTGGATAAATACCGAGGAAAAGGACATTTGAAAAGGTAGCAGAGTAAAATGACACTTTTTTTAGTTACTAACAAAGAACCTACTGCTACTGCTCAGCTCCAATCAATAAACAAGCCAAAGGTTGGAAATAAAAGTCTGCCAGTTGCTCCTCAGTTAGAGGTTTTTATCATGGAGATGACGAGCTAAAGCTAATGCTAGCGTTGCTTAGCATTTGATGTGAGAAAAAGAACTCATCGTACGCAACATTTAATGCACGTAGCTTTCTGTTTAATGCGTGAACAAATAAATAAAACACCTCACACATTAAATACACATTACGTGGTTTATATTGCGGTTTATGATGTCCTTCATCGGTAAACACACACAAAGTGTTGTTAAGTCAAAGTGTAAACGATGTCACTGTGACAGATGAACAACAACAGTCACAGAGACAACAGCAGTGGCTGTGAATCTTCTCTACAGCTTCTGTGTTGCGTTTTAACGATGTTAGTGCTCGGGCAAAGCTAACGATGCCAACAGCTACCGTACTGGAGATAGCAGGCTGAAACGCTTAGCAACATTACGGCACAGCTCTGAACCCGAAGTCGAACTAAAGACTGGAGTTTCATTAAAAATACCGTTCAGAACTTAAGTTATTTATTAGATTAGATAAAAACAACACCACTTACGTCTGTCATCATGTTGAAATGTCAGCGGAGTCTCCTTACTTCCGGCTTACGTGCTACCAGGGACACGTCACAGGAAACACGTGACCAAAAAGGGCTACGTTAACGCCAACTCAAAAATATAAAATAAAATAAACTGTGAAGTTAGAGAAAGCCATATTGACGTTTATTTGGGAAAAAGAGTCAAGTTTATTATATTTTATTAAGAAAATAATTCACAGTCTGATGAAGAGTACAGTAACAGCTTGAGTTCCCACCAACAACATTTAAACAGTGACACTGGTTAAAGAAAAGTAAACACCGTTACCATGGTGATTTGTTCTTTGTTTTCATGCACACCCGTCTCTTATATTTTATATGACACAGATCATACAACAAACAGACTTTTTGGTGCCGTTTCATGGAATCACTGTTCCGTTGGCCGGTGAGGTCGGAGGTGAGGGGCTCTTCAGACGTAAAGGTTCTCCCGGTGCCACCAGGGCCACAACGTTCTCTTTCTTGGAGAGCCAGAAGGCCGGGTACAGAGGCTCCAGGAACTCGGCCTGGTACTCATGGATGAGCGTGACCTCATCATTCACACCATAGAAGGCCAGCAGGCCTCCTGTGTAGTCCACGTATACACCGATTCGTGAGAACTTCTCAGCACTGAGTGGCGTCTCGACGCCGCTGTGCCAGGCGGAGAAGGTTCGTCCGTTCCACTGCAGGCACCAGGAGAAGTTGTTTCCTGTGATGCAGCTGTTGCTCTCGCTGCCTTTACGATCGATGCTCTTGTAGGTTATGCCCACATGGGTCCCCTCACCACTGATGTCTGCCTCAAAATAGTGGCGACCCAGGTAGAGGCTGTCGGACGCCAGAACTTGACGCCAGTTCTCGAATCTCTCTGGTACGTCTGGATACGGATGCTGCCAAGGTGTGGTGTTTGTCACCTTTCTGTTTTCCTCAGTCAGACGCAGGAATTTGTGAGCTGTGTCTGCGTCAAAACTCATCTGGGCGCCATCTGGTGGAAATGCATGACAGTACGTGTTAATAGAGTATAATAAATACACACACACACACAAACACACGCACACTGACTCTTACACTTGAGGAAGTCGGTGTGTGTCTTTGGCTGTGGTATTGACATGTTCTCTTTGGCAGCGACGATGGCCTGAACTGTAGTTTTTATTCCCATTTTTTCTGAAATGACAGAAAAAACCCACAGTTTTACATTTACACTCCAACAGTAACATCTCTTTCATTTTTCCAGTTTCTCTACTGCAGCAGTGACACATGAGCAGAATATTTCAGACAAGTGTGAACTCGCTCTGATGAAGCAGTGACCGCCGCCTCCCTCTCCTCCCTCTCCTCCCTCTCACCATTCTTGCAGGTCTCTTTGACTTTTTCGATGTATGACGACTCGATGGTGGAGCAGAGCTCCTGCGTTGAGTCCACGATGACGCGGCTGAAGGAATTCAGACAGTCCATCAGGCCGATGTAAACTCCAGGCAGGGAAATATCTGTGGATTCTTTTTTCCACTCGGAGTATTCCTGCAGAACAAGAACACCACAGTCACAGAACATGAAGGTTTTTCAACTTCATCTTCACCTTTTATGATGTCATCAGAGTTTCTGAGCTTTGACAGCAAAGAACAGTGAAAACTAAGGAACGCATCTGAGCAGAACAGCTGAGTCAGAACAGCTCAGTGTTCCCTGGAGAATGTTGTGGTGTCTGAATGTTTAGACTGAGATGATCCCAGACCTGGACCATCAGAAACCTTGTTAGTACCTGCAAGAAATCCACGTCGTTCTTGTTCCTGGAGATCTTCTCCACCTGGGCCTGGGTCTTCTTCAGCTCTGTGCACCTCTGCTCCAGGTGGACCCGGATTCCCTCGGCCTGCCGCAGGGCCTGCTTCTCCTCAGCCTCCAGGATCTCCGTCACCTCCCTCTGGGCCCGCTCCACCATGGCCTGGAGCTGCTGGAACTGGGACTCGATCACAGCCCGTACCTCCGTCACCGATTGCTGCAGGGGCAGAACTGTTTATTGTCTTGACACTGAGGAACCAGGACAGAGTCAGCAGCTGAGGAACGCCGTGAGAGTGACATCATGGCACTGCTTCTCCTCCACCCTCAGGAAACACCCTCCTCCCACACTCATGGGAATCCTGTCTGCTGACTCACATTCTCAAAGACCAGTAATGTAGGTATGAAGATTCTTAGCCCGAAAAAAACACTGAGTCACCGACAAAGTCATGTGACCGAAACAAATGTATGAGCGAAAGAAAAAGTAAAAAATAAAGAATTAAAGCTCAACAATAAATGTGTAAAATCAGCCTGAAAATGCAAATAAATCTATAAACAAAAAAAAAAAAAAGAAACAGCCTGAAAACTATAAATAACAAGAAAGTACTACAAGTACAGAACCATGGTAGGACTATGGACCACGGTGAAACCCTGACAGAGGCCTGACCATTGTGGTTGGAGAGGTGGGTGTGGTCTAACGGCTGTGAGTCATTCTGTCTGTAGTCACCTCTATGGAGACGGTGTTGAGCTGCAGTTTGTTGATGGCATTCTCAGCGGCCGTCACCGTCTTCACCATCTCCTTCTGCTTGTCCTTCAGCTCCCCCTGACAGAGAAGAACAGAGGGAAGGTCAGACCACAGTCTCCACCCAGACGGACCTCAGGAACAGGAACCGCAGCAGACACTGTAATCCTGGAAATATGTCAAGTCCTCACAGCTACATGACAAAGTACACACGGTTCTCAGTTGTCCTCTGAGATCACGTTCGCTGTAGTCAAACATCAGAGCTGCTGCTGGTTCACAGTCAATGTTGGATTAGAGATTAGAGATTAGAGATTAGAGATTAGAGGTGGACATAAAAAGGTAGAGATTATAGTTTAGATGTAAATTATCACAGATTAGAAGTGGGATGTTAGCAATTAGAGATTGGCACTCTGTGGTTGGATAAAGAAGTGGAGCAGGAAGTTCAGTGACACCACCACCAAGAGTCATGTGACGGAAACACCAGCAGGATAACACTTAAAAATAAAAATAATCCCAGTCTGTCAGTCAGTGGAACGGGGGAGAACCTCCACTGACCCTTCTTCACTGTCTTCATCTTACCCTTAGGTGGCGCCACAGCACATCATCTCCCTCCATCTCTGCCTGTCTCCTGCCTCCACTGCTTTGACACCAACCATGGAGTATTATTATAAAGTACTACTGTAGTATTAGCACTTCAGACCTGTTCCAGATCAGACCGGACTCTGAAGTCGTTGTTAAAGATGTTGTTTTTTACGCCTCACTCCAGTTGTGACTGGACTGTCTGTATCTGAACCGTTTGTCCCCCCCTCCCCTCTCTGTTGTCTCCCCCTGTGTCCTGTCAACACACGTGTGTTCTGTAGATCTGGGCTTCACACTGACATTGACTGGACCTGTCTGGTCTTCACCATCTCAGCTGATGAAGAGCATAGTCATGTGACCTCTCTGATGACTCATCTACAGCTCTGGGGCTGTGAAGGCAGCGACTTGTTTTCTTTTCGATCTGAATTCCTGGGCAGGTCCAGACGACTCTGGACCTGAACTTGGGTTTTCTACAGGAACATCATCCAGGAAAAGTCAGCCGCTGACAGGATGAAGGTTCAGCTTTGCTCCAACAGGGGCAAATATCTATGTGGATGCCCTACAGGTCGAGACCCTGACAGCTGATAGACTTCTTTCAGACAGAGGAGGTTTGAAGTTAAAATAGATTTTGTTACAGGTTTAAACAGTAGCTAAATGTTCATTCAAAGTCACGCAGAAATGAGTTCAACTGAACAAAGCTAAATGTCACTGCATGAATAAATGAATAAATAAAAGACTAAAATAGTGCCAGAGAAAAAGTAGTGACAGTTTAACCAAAAACAAATGGAGGAGGCAAACAGTGAAAAAATATCCACGAATTAGCTTAGCTAAGCCGTTAGCCGTTAGCCAAGTCTCCTCGGAATTACTACAGTGTGAGATATTTAGATATTATTCTGAAAAAAGTGGTGCTGGATACTACATTGTCATTTGAATTTATTTACATTATTTTAATATAAGTGTTTATAGGAATATAAGTTAGCTAATTGTAGAGGCAGTGGGATTTAGGCTTCAGTGTTACAGCCACCCACGGGAGTTTGTTGGAACTAGAACTGGTTTGTCTTCTGTGGGAGAAGTTCTTTGAAAAAAAGTGGAACAGGAAGTCCATGGACTCCATTGTCTTCTGTGTTGTTATAGCTCTTTGCTGCTATCAGTTCTAAGGAAATGAGCCACATTCATTCATTTCCTCTCTAGCAGAACCAGCTTCATTTTAAAGCTAGTTTTCCTGCAGGTCAGTGAACGCATCACTGACTGTTCCTTCATGTTTGCTCTTGTTCTTATGAAACACTTTGAGCTGTGAGACTGACTGAGTAAATAACAGGTGTGGACTCAGATCTGGGCTGGAATGTTCTGGACCAGGACCTGGACCTGGACCTGTCTGGAACAGAGACAGACGAGACTGGAGGCCCACGTTCTGGGTCACCGTAAGATTGTTCATCACAGCAGGAGACCAGACATTCTAGGTTCGGGTGTTTGATCAGGAACCGCTGAGGTCATTTCACAGGTGTCTGTGCTGCAGTGGTGGAGGGGACGAGGGGTGGGTGGGGGNTGCTAAATTTACACAGTCTCTTCTTCTAAACGTGACAGCAGCAGAGAGGAGGGGATTGAAAGGATTATTGGACCCATATCAGAATGTTCCAGAGACCTCCAGGTTCAAGGCCCGGTCTTTTTGGGCTGTAAATGTCAGTACTGCAGATCTGAGGTCTACAAATACTTGAACCACAACATTTAAGAACAGCTCTGTTTGGAGCCAGGAAACTTTGAGGAGACTCAGAAACTTCTTCTGGTGAACTAATGGAAACTTCTCTGAACTATGACCCTCACAGAGAACATTGACGTGTCCACTGACTTCAGGAGGTTCTCCAAGATCGACAGTCTTTTTTTTTTAAAGTTTCATCAGTGAAAAAGTTCCTTACCTCGATCTTACTCCGGGCTTCCAGCACCAGGATGGTCTTGTGACCTGCGTGGTCCTCGCTCACACAGTCCTGGCAGATACAGCAGTCGTCGGCGCAGCAGAAGATCTCCAGGGGCCACTTGTGGCTCTCGCAGGTCCTCCTCTCGATGTCCCTCAGAGGCTCCACCAGACGGTGGGTCTGGAACTTAGGGTTCTCCAGGTGTGGCCTCAGGTGGGCCTCGCAGTAGGACACCAGGCAGACGAGGCAGGACTTGAGGGCCCTGCGGGGGTTCTCGATACAGGAGTCACACACCACATCATCTGGACCCAGGGGTTCCTCCTCCACCACCTCCGTCTTCATCTCCTCATCCTTCTTCTCTTCAGGGTCCTGGTTCCCGTTGGCTGCTGGAGCTGGACTTTCTGGTCCATTCTCCTCAGGCTGAGGTTGGTCCTGACTCTGCTGACACTCAGGGCAGACTTGAGTCTTGTCCTGGAGGCAGGAGCTGCAGACCAGGTGACCACAGGAGGCCAGCTGGTCTGGGCTGGACTCACCTGAGCAGATGGAGCACAGCTGTGTCTGTGGTTCTGTGGTGGACTCAGGGCTCGGACCTCCTGCTGCTGCTGAAGGAGCTGCTCCCTCAGTGTCGGCCATGTCTCCTGCTGGTCTTCCACTCAACAACTGGCTCTGCAGCTTCTGCCAGTTCCTGGATCAGTTCGGAGGCCACACCCCAGCTGATGATGCAGCAGGGGCCTCAGAGAGTTTCAGTCCAGATGGACTCCACCCACCTTCAGATCTCAGACAATCCCTGCTCCAGTGGGTGGAGCTCCTGCTACAGAGGAGGAGCAGGGAGGTGTAGAGTTGCATTCCCACACGGCCTGTCATCATGAAGTGAAACTCCTCACAATTCTTCTGTTTCTGCCTCTGAACTGACTTCCTCCACGTCCTGAAGCCTCCGAGCACAGAAACATTCGGCTGTGGAACTCACTGTAGTGACTTTCTGTTCTTCATTTTCCACACACAAAAAAACCCCTGATCACCTGGTTCACAGATGTTGATGGACCACATACCTGTTCTGCATTAGATCTAGTTTTGTGGCCCAGAGTCTGCACCACATAATTAGACCAAATGGCCTTAAGACGGCTCCTTCTCAGTTTGAATGATCAGGTCCACACCTGGGTCTTCAAGGGTTAGGACTCATGGTCAGCTGACTGGAAGTCAGGAGGTCTCATGTCATGGACAGAACTGTTTTTCCTGTTGTATTATAGTTTTGAAAATGCGCCATGTCTTCAAAGAAGCGAAAGATTCGATATGAAGGTATTTAGTGACACCTAGTGGATAATATCGACCATTTAACTGTTAACCAAAGAGTAGCTTTTATTGTCATTGTAACACGGGGGTACAACGAAGTTGAAGGTAAATGGACATGAAAAACTGAGTAATGTATTTTAATTACATAATGTAAACTCCAGGGGTGACATTAAATCACATTAAAAAAATAGAAAAGAAAATCCATAAAGGACTGAGGAAATTAAACATTTACTTTAAAAAGATAACATTTAGCAACAGGGGCTAAAGTCTGACTAATAACACACAGTGTCTATGAGTAGTTTAGATTAAATGCTAACGTGATCGGAGCTAATCAGGCTACAGTGTCTTTGTCCCTGTCAGTCAGATGACGTTGTCAAGAAAACAAAGATAAAAACTATAAAATCATTAAGTGTCATAGCGTTCATGACTTATCACACTGTCGTAAATTAAAAGTAAATATGCAGTAAAGTGCTTTCAGGTTGAAACAGGTTGAACTTTTGTTCAACAATCAGTACCAGGACAGGATGTTTTTTGTGCTATGCTAATTTAGCTTCACAACTGTGACTCGGATTGGTGTTGTTTTAGTTTGTGCTGTAAAGTAAACAGAATAATGACTGACATCAGTGCAGCTATCAGTTCTTTCTCTCACTGGAACCATTTGAACCTTCTTTACAGACTCCACGTCGGTTCAGCAGCGGCTTCAGCAAAGTCCGTCGTCACTCACTGTCCGCCCACCAGCTCTGTGATGGGCGGGGCAAACACCATGAGCTCCTGGTACCGACTGAAGAAGAAGCGAAGGCGGGACCAGTAGGAGTCCTCGTGGTACGGAAACTGCTTTTCAAGCAGGTATTTGGATACGATGGGTTTCACCTGCAGGGGGCGATGATGGGAGATGTAGAGAGAAAAATAATCATTAAATCAGTGATTCACAACCGATTAATGTTTTTATTGGTCTAAAAAACTAATATTTATTTACTGCTAAAAACTTGTCTTCGTCCTTATTTGCAACAGCAATAGGCAGAATAATTACATTTTCCAAAAGGTGGCAGCAAAGGGTGGTCATAAAGACCCTTGTTGAAGAAGAGCCTTGTGTGTGTCCTTTGTTTGATGCACCATGAACCATGGGATTTTTGTGTGCATTAAACAAGGTGAACGGTACAAAGAAGAGTTCTGTTCACCTTCAGACACATGTGGTCCGACAGGAAGGGGAAGAGATGATGCTCCACGTGGCAGCTGATCAGAGAGTGTCCAAAGATCCAGTCCAGAACCAAGTTCCGGGGTAAGTTCAAGACCCCGTGACTCATCTGCTGGATCCGTTTGGGCCGCCTGCTGGGAGAGAACATGGCCAGACCGATGTGCTGGAAAGACACTCAGTCTGGTCAGAACTGCCGTCAGCTGGTCCAGCTGGTCTCCAACCAGAAACCACTGGTACCTTTGAGTTTCCTGGTGATTTCATGAATTGTTTCTCACCTGGAAGATGTTGACGTGGATGTAGGGCACAGCGAACATGGCCCTGCAGACCAGCATACAGAACAGGGCGCTGAGGGGAGACCTGAACCCAGAAACATGGACCAGGAGCCAGTACTGTGAGTACAGACCCAGTGACACCGTGAGGGCAGTCCTGAAGATGAGGCCCAGAGAGTGACCTCTGAGGTGGGCTACAGAAAGACCAGAGAACCAGTCACAGTGATGGAGCCAGGGTCAGAGGAGAACCCGAGGAGATGTTCTGTTGTATCTACTGACCAGACGGTACATCTGGTCTAACTGGTCCCTTATCTACCCAGGTCTGTGTCTGAGTCTCAGGTAAAGTCTGGAACTAGGCGATGGTGTCTCACCGAATGCCACCAGAGGAGTGATGATGGGAACGGCCAGAGGGGCGAAGAACAGGTAGATGGTTCGAGACAGGAATGGAACCTTCCACACGCTGGAGTCTCCCAGTCCGATGATGTTGGTGTGGGCGTGATGCATCTTGATGTGACCCTGGACACCGGCCCGCGCCGAGAAAGACCCACAGATCTGTGCACATCAGACCAGAGGACACAGGAATCATGATCAGTACTGGTCCCGGCTCACCTGGTGCGATGATGTCACACTGAAGGTTGACAACAGTAACCTCCCTTTACATTAACCAACCTACCTAGTTATCTACCAACACAGCCACATCCTACCCATGTATCCTACCAACTCCACCTACCTACTTCTCTCCTTATCCCTCCTCCCTATTCTGTCCTATCTGTTGTTCATCACCTCGATGAAGAAGACAGCCCAGAACTTGGCCCAGGTGGGCGACTCGCTCAGCGCCCCATGACTGGCCAGATGTGTCCCTTTGATGGTGATGACGGCGTGGGCCACACCCATCAGCATGACGCCGACTAAAAACCAGGTGAGATGGGTGGAGGAGAGCAGCAGGAAGGCTGTAAGAAAGGAGAGGAGGAACATGGTCATGGGTCTGAGCTCTACAGAGGACCAGGACACCAGAGAGGACCAGGACATCACAGAGGACAAAAACATTTTGTTTCTGACACAGAACCACAGGCTCAGCAGCACTAAGTGTGGACAGAAACCTCAGGACATCACAGAGGACTCACAGAGGACCAGGACACCAGAGAGGACCAGGACATCACAGAGGACAAAAACATTTTGTTTCTGACACAGAACCACAGGCTCAGCAGCACTAAGTGTGGACAGAAACCTGATCCTGGACTGGTGTGGACTGGTGTGGACTGGATCAGGAGACGTCAGTGTCTCAGTTTACAGGGAGTTCCTGGTCCTGTTACATCAGAGGGTTTCTAATTACACCAACGTTACTGAGGCAACACTTTGATGTTTACTGGAACACAAAACAGTTCTGTGACAGATATGACCTGCTCTGAGAACACGAATGGAATGCGGCCATGTTGTTCAGAGTCTGATGCTGAGGACCGAGGGTCTGGATGATCATGGAACTGTCTCTAGTACTGAAAAAGCAGAACATGTCATGGTGATAAGTCAGCAGATCATTAGCTGCACTTTCACTGTTTAGTGCTTAGAACTGTTTTTAAGAAGCTGAGAACAAAGTCCCTCTGACTGTACCTGTAATGACAGGGTCCAAGTCCTCGTTATTCTTAGTTCAATTTTAAAATCTTTGTGGTTCAGTTCATTACGGTTCAATGGTAACCATGGTAACCATGGTAACCCTGAGTCTACTGAGGGCTCAGTGTTAGGTTTGATGTTTGGACAGAGTCAACAGAACTGTGAACCAAACTGTGATCCAACAAAATGACAGATTTGAAACAGGAAATTCACAGGTGTCTCTTTAACAGACTCTCATTGGTCGGTCGTCTGTCCATCATCATCAGACATCCAATCATACACCCACCATCACACTCTTAACTGTTGTATAATCAAACAAACAACATCCTTCATTTGAATTCACTCTCCGTCTTATAACCACACAAAAACCTAAAAATGAAGTACTACATGTCTCACTCAGTACTACTCAGTACTGCAGCAGAAATACTCCTACGTCTGACGCTTCGATGATTCACGGCACCAAAGTCTGTGTACTTCAACCTGTCAGTGTGTGTTCTGGATTTTGGAGTGAAGCCAAACCACAGGTTACCAGAGGTCGGAACCAGAGGTCACTCTGTTCTACTGAAGCCTTGGACTCAACTCAACAACTCAACTTATCCCAGGATTAGACCTGGACACGGACTACAGGTCCAGGAACCAGGTGGTCAGCTGACAAGAACACTTGACAACTTGAATTTGTCAAAAACAAACAACAGAAGTCTGGACTGGACCAGACCAGGACACTGGACTGGACCTGTGTTCGTGGTGCCCACGTCTCCTACCTGGTGGCAGACAGAGGAAGGCTGTTCCCAGGATGCAGCAGTCCTCACCCCTCCTCTCCCACCAGCTGCTCCTCGTCAGTGTCTCCTGCACCAGTCTGTTCAGCTCTGTCATCAGGGTCTCCTCCTGCTCCTCCTCTGCACCTCCTCCTGCAGTCTTCACCTTGTTCACCTTCATGGCCTGACCTCCTTCTCCTCTCTCCTCTACTATGTCCTTTATTTCACCTCCTCACTTCTCCTCCTCTGCAGTTCCTGCAGTTGCTGCAGCTGCTCCTCAGCTCAGAGGCTAAAGTCCAAGTTGAAAAAATGTTTGTGTTCATGGTGAAGCTCCGCCCCCTGAAGGACACACCTCTTCCTTTATCTCTTCCTTGTTCCTCTCCTCCTCTTCCTCTGGTCAGCTGACTCCTCTTCAGCTTTGCTGCAGGAGTTGAAGTATTTGAAGAAGATAAAAACCTAAGGAGCAGCAGCAGGGGCAGCTCCTCTCTCTGACTCCTCCTTGTCCTTCCTGCTCTCATACATTCTTTATGTTCTTCACTGCTCTCTTGTTTCTTGGTGTCAGAAACAAGAATCATTCATCCCACCCTCCCTCTTATTCCTCCTTCCCCATCTTTTCCTTCTTTCCCTTCTGCTGCATCCCCTCTCTCTACTTTAACCCTCCCCTCCCTCTCCTCCTCTCCTGTCCTATATTTCATCTTCACTTCACACCTTTCCTTGTTGTTTTACCTCCTTCTTTCTTCTACTGTCTTTATGCCTCATTTACAAATTTTTAGCTCTACTAAACCGACCCCTGCCCCCCGACCTCCCGCCCCCACACACGTACAATTCACTGACAATAATTCGTTTTTATTTTATAAAAGAAAACATTTGTAGTTTTATTCATTTTTATTCAAAAACACATTTTTTATCTCTTACATAAAATACATTCCTGGAGACAACAGTGACAACAACACCAACAACAACAACAACAACAGTCTGCTCAGACTGTTACTGTGTGTCGGACACGTTCAGGTTCATTTACTGTGATGCCTTCACTGACCCTTCCCTTCATTATTTCTTATATAAATACTGAGATAAATAACGGTGTGACCGGTTTCCATGCGTCCATGCTTGATTTTCCTTTATTGTTATATCACAAATGTCCACAAGATGGTGGTGGTCAGCCAGAAAAACACATCCGGCTGTTGGTTCTGTTAAGTTAGTGGATGGGGTCACGTGGATAATTATTTCTAAAAAAGTTATGACTTCAGTGATGAACTTCTGAGATTAAGATTTAAATAAAAAATAAAAATATAAAAAACTACATCTTTAAAGATTAAAACTGACTATGACATAATCCCTTAGATTAGAAATTATTATAGATTATTATTACACCGTCTGGAGTTGGAGATGAAATCCTTCATTTTCCATGGAACAAACAGAAAGTAGTAAAAATAAAATCAAACTTTAAAAAAATAGTTTCAACTAAAAACAGGAAACTTTGGAGAATAATTTGCCACAAATATTTTTCCCAGAGAAAATCCATTTCTGCTGAGTGGACTGGACAGGTGGAGGTCTTCACAGCTCCGTGTCCTCTATGGTCTCTGGTTCCTCCAAAGTGTCCAAACGTCTCTTGCAGGCGTCCAGTAGTTTCTTTCTGGGTCCCAGCGGGACGTGTATGCTGGACAGGTCCTGGTCTGAACACAGCAGCAGGGCGTTCAGGTCGATCCTCTCCCTCCTGAAGATCATCAGGAACTCGCTCAGGCCCTGTGAGGCTAAGAAGGTCTCCAGAGGACTGTTGTCTGGCTCCAGGTCCTGGTCCAGACCCACTTCCGTGTCCTCCCAGGGAAGTTCCTGCAGGTTCCTCTCCTGAAGACTCAGAGCGCTGCCAATACTGTCTCCATCGATGCTGGGGGAGGGTGGTGGCAGGTGTCCACGGAGGCGAACGTTGGGGGCCCGACCCACCGGTTCACTTCCGGCCACACTTCCCTCATCCTGAACCCCGATCCCAAACATTCCCCCGCTCAGATAGTTCCTCCGGAACACCATGGAGCCCAGTCCTGGACGGTTGAAGAGGGAATCGCGGCCGGAGTCGGCACTGATCTCCGAGTACGCGGCCTCGTGGAGACCCGGGTCACTCATGGCACGGGAGACGGTGTCGGCGTCGTCTTCATCTTCACGGAACATGTAGCGGATGTTGAGGCGAGATTTCTCCCTGGGATTTGCGTAAGTTCCCTGTTTCAGGAACATGACGTCGTTCCCCAGCTGCAGCCCAGAGAGCGAGCGCACACTTTTCCTCCCGTCCTCGTAGATCTTGAAGGTTCCGTCCACCTGCTTCTTCTTCTCCAGCTTCTTCTGGATCTTCGCTTTTCCTTTGGCTGTGGAGTGAAGTGTGGCCTGAGAAGAAAAGACAGGGACGAAGTCACAAGTGTCTGTCTGTTTAGCTTAGCTTCAGTTAGCATCTTTGGATTGAATCAGAAATCTTAAATATTACACTAACGATGATGTGTGAGTGAAGAACATTAGCACTGAGGCTAAGTGAAAAGCTAGCTGAATTGAACATACCTGTGAGTACGGAACATTAGCGTTGGCAGTCATAGTGTTGAACTTGCGACTGAGTGTGCTGCCGCTGTTGTAGCTGGAGAAGCTAACAGCGTCCATGTTGTCCAGCGCCGCTGTTTCCTTCAGGAACTTCCTCTCCATGCGTTCACGGTGTTTCCTCTGAAGTTTGGCGCACTCTTTGATCCGTCTCTCCGCAGCGCGAAAAGCCCGATCCTTCAGTTTTCCCACCAGTTTGGGGTTGAGCGTTATCTGCTTGGCAGCGATGGAGTCCAGGTAGCGAACACAGGCCATGTGACCCTTGGTGGCAGCCATGTCCAGTGGTGTGTGGTAGTCGTTGTCCAGACACCACACGTTGGCGCCAAAGGCCACCAGGAAGGACAAGCAACTGTGGTGACCGTTAGCCGCCGCCAGGTGGAGCGGCGTGTTCCCCCAAATGTCACATTTGTCAGGGTCGCCGCTGGAAAACATGAGTAGGCTAAATGTTAGCAAAACCTTTGCCAAAGTCCATAGAGAAAATCAGTGATTTTCACTGTGACTGGTCTCAGAGCCGTCACCTCTGGTTCAGTCACTGTGTTAATGATAGTGTTTAACAGTTAGCACCAGTCGTCTCTGCTGCTGCTGTGACAGATTCATTTACTGAATATGGACATGGAGGACAGATGAAAGGTCACTGTGACCACCCGACTGAGACACCGACTTTTCTCTGAGGTTTGGATGAAGAAAATTAGTTCTCTATTATCTCCCTCTCTCCCTCTCTCTCTCTGTGACCTTTCTATAATCAGGCAGTTTAAATGTATGAACTTCGTGTGCAGTAGACCAGACCAGATGTTCAGTCCAGTTTTGTGTTCTGTTCTGTTTAAAATAATTGTATAAATAAATAAATGAAAATGTCTAAATTGTATTTTTCATCCAACAACGGATCCAGAACCAGACAAACTTTGACTCCTGACTCTCAATTGTTCAAAAATAAATGTATGTTAAATATAAAATATACATTTAGTTGAGCATTGACCTTTGGATCTAAATATTGTTTTTCTGTTCTAATTCAGCCCTGGTATTATTTGTCACGTCCAGATCCTGGTCCTCAGACCCCCCAGACCCACATACTGTATTATTTTCTCTTTGACAAACCACAATCTGTTCTTGTTCCTCACATCCTAGTCCTAGTCCTGGTCTTGGTCCAGTGGCCCTCCAGACCCCAGCTCCAGGTCTCACCAAATATATTACTTATTTTATTATTAAAAAACGTAAGCTTCTCAGTCAGCTCCAAAATCTAACTTCCCAGAACCGCTCGGGACTCACCCGCGGCTGACGATGAGCCGCAGCGCCTCCAGCTGGCCGTGGTAGGCGGCCCACAGAGTCGGTGTCATCCCATCTTCATCAGGAGCGTTCAGCTGCTTCCTGTTGGCCTCCTTCAGCACCCCGAGGAACCCGTCACTGGCCGCCCGGTGGAACCGGTCCTCCATGGTTCCGGTTCCGCCTCGACGTCAGTCTGAGACCGTCTTCATGCCCCGGTTGTGGAAGTGAGAACTCCTGGTGGGTCTCACTCGAACTGTCTGGAGTCCAGACTCTTGATACTGCTGCTAGGAGACACACTGAGGGCGGGGCTACAACCGCACTGACCACGCCCATGTGGATATATGTGGCCCTCTGGTGGATCATCACGGTACTGCACGTGTTTTATTTTTCCTGAAGTTTCATCTTTTCCTAATTTTTCTCATTTATAACGTGATGAGAATCAAATGTTAATCATGTGACTCTACTGCCCTCTTCTACCACTGTGTTCATATTTCAGTCATACATGTTTATTTTTCAATTAATTTATCTTTAACTATTTCAACCTCCATTAGGTTGGAGCGCCACCCTGTGTCCCAGACCCAAACCTAAAATATTTTAAACCTTTAACTGTTGTGTTCTAGAGTTTCTCACCATCATCCGTGACGTCAGCCCTGCTCAGTCACACTGTGACGTCAGTGTGGACTGATGCTGCAGTCAGGAATCAACTCATTCTCAGATTTTTCATCATGTTTTGTTTTTCATAAAATAAAAATTCAACTCAGAACAAACATCAAAAAAATAAATCCACAGTTCAGAGGTCAGTCTGGCGCTTAGTCGTCCTGCGGCGCCCCCTTCAGGCTGGAGCGGCTCTTCTTCTGCTCCTCCTGTCCCATCACTCTGTACAGTTTCTTCTTGGCCTCCTTCTGCCTCTTCAGCTTGGCCTCCTCTTGTTTCTCCTTCTCCTTCAGGAACTCCTTGTGTTTGCTGTGCTGTGCCGTCGATGCTTTCTTCCTCTTCTGGTTGTGCACAGTGGCCAGAGCGTGGAGCAGTGCTGCCACCTATAGGACAGAGTCCAGAAAGTGTGTGAATCATGGGTGTGATCAGGCTCTGGTGTTGTTTCCAGAGCCTCAGGTTGAGCCTCAGGTTGAGCCTCAGGGTGTTTTCCTACCTTCCTGTCGTGAGGTTCTCTGATCACCGTCCCTCAGGTGAGCCTCAGGTTGAGCCTCAGGTTGAGCCTCAGGTTGAGCCTCAGGGTGTTTTCCTACCTTCCTGTCGTGAGGTTCTCTGATCACCGTCACCCTCTGCAGGTCTCTGGGCGTCTTTCCTTTGGCCTGCTGGAGTTTGGGTTTGCTCTTGAAGGGCAGAGCCTTCTGCAGCTCTCTGGGGATGTGAAGACGGTTGAAGCGTCTCTGGGATCGAACCACAGGCTAAAAACAACACAAACAACCACAGGTTACTGTAACTCCACTGGACCAAAGGGTCATGATCCAGACCAGCCCGGTCGTGGCCTACCTTGTACAGGGAGTCAGTGTTTGGTTTGTTGCGGACGCCCAGGTCATGTTTGAGCTGGCCCAGAGTCCTCATCCCAGACCAGGTGTCTTTCTCACCAGCAGGGAGCAGTAGTGAGGTGACAGGGTTGTAGAGCTGAGGGATGGTCACTGGGTACCAGGACCTGAGGAACACAATGTCTGGACACACACACACACACACACACATCAGACTGGGTGTGTTTCTACTTTAAACATCAGAACAACAATAATGTGGTAATTATATAAACATATCTATAGAATCAGTGAATATATGTCAACAGTCTCAGAGAACTCACCGCTCATCAGCAGCCTGTCCTCAAACGTGGCTCTGTACGATCCTGCTGGTGTCGACAGGGCCTTCTTGATCTGACCGCGGACACCCGACACAGTTCTTATTGCAGCGCCTTCAAATTTGGCCACCTCCAGCACGGTGTTGAACATGCCCTGAAAACATCCAGAGTAACAAATTCATGATTAACATCTTTTAACTGTGAACTCAAATCATGTTCTCTATGGGGATTGGTCCACAGAGGACGGCTCAGGGTCTCCACCTTGATGAAGCAGGTGTTCTTGAAGATCTTGTACGGGTAACCGATGAGTTTCAGCTTCTTCACCACGGTCACAGACTTGTCCAGGTCCAGGATCACACCAGTGGCTGCGATGCGGAAGTTGGCCTGGAAACAGGAAACAGAGTTATTGCAGCGACTGACCTGAGGGTGACCTTGATTTCTGCTGCTTCTGAACTGAAGGCCAGCGAGACTCACTTTGATTCCAGAGACCGACTGCAGAGCCAGGAATCCTGTTCCCTGAGGTGTGATTGGTCCTAGGATCAGACCAGGTGACAGAAATGACCATTGATCTCTGACTGAACATCAACACGATGTTTTAGGTGTAATAGTAACTCACCCCAGATGGAGGCGCCACAGTGCATGTGCTGAGGCGTGTACTTGAGCAGACGGTGTCGTCCGTTGTGGTCCTGGATGTGGTACAGAGGGACGGTCTGGAACCTCCTCCAGCCCAGAGACAGGATCAGAGGGTCTCTGGTTTTCAGGATGCGACTGTACCAGCGGTGTTTCTTCAGCCGCAGCTACGACAACAGTCACAGGAAACGTTAGCGTTGAGATCTTTGCAGAAACATTAAACCAGTCTCTGGTCATTGTAGGCTAGTCCAGGTGTCTTTGATGTTCTCCAAAACAAGAATCCACCACTGATGTGGAGATGGAACAAAAAACATGTCCATAATAAAAAAGGTCTTTAAAACTTCTAGTCAATAAAAGAAGAAACTCACAGATCTGCCTGTACGTACTATAGCAGGGACACAGACCACATTTTTATGACCCCTGGTCAGGACTATCTGATGTCTCTTACAGTTTGTCAACTATAATAACTTAGACTTTTTCAATAACCTTTAGTCATTTTCCTGACATTTAGCTGTATGCTAGGCTAATCAGAAGGCAGGTACCTGCAGGTAGCCGACGTTTCCTTCACTGGAACCCAGACCGCCGAGGATGATGGGATAGTGAGGGTCAAAGTTGGTGACGAACTCACAGGGCAGAGAGGAGATTTCTAGCCGCACGTACATCCCTGGACGAAACCCTTCGTACTGGACCCTGGTCTCATCGTCCACGTCCTCGAACTCTGTCCGGTTCAACTGAAGCAGAACCGACGTTAATGTTTGGGCCGCGTGGTTAAAGAGTGACATGGAAGAGATCGGTTCTTACCTCGGCCTGTTTCTGCATCTCCTCCTTCAGGTCGTCGAAGTACGTGGCGTCCTTGTCGTCGTACTCTGCGTCAAAGCGCTCTTTCAGTCGACGTTTCTTCTCCAGACGTTTGTTCTTCTGACGCTCGTCATCGTCCACCCGCACCACGGTCTCCTCAGCCTCATCTTCCTCCTCATCAGTGTCCTGCAGGGGGCGACGTACAGCCACATTAAATGTTAGCTCAAGGAGGTGCCAGACCAGTGGTTAGTGTGTCTCCATTAGCTTCTTTTTAGCTTCACACGTGTCTACGGCTTCACTAGCTAACATGCTAACAGAGGGTTGGTGGACACCTGAGCCTGGTCCTGATCTTGGGTTTGACCCGTATGGGTTTCTCCAGTTTCCAAATCCTCAAAGTCTCCGTACAGATCCTCTGAAATGACAACAACACAGAGCGTCTTTCTTTTCCTCTCACAGCAACAGTTTTCTGACTTCCTGTCATTCCTGTGGTCTGTGTTTGCTTCTCTCACCGTCCTCCTTCAGCAGGGTGGCCGCATCTTGAGCCTCCTCCCACTTCCCCGTCACAAAGCAGTCTCTGATGGAATTCAACATCTGTGGAAACAAACACAGCGGCGTCAGCGTCGATTTCAGCGTCTGGTCCATGGTACAGTGGGCGTGTCTGCGCTGCAGCACCTCCTCCTGGTCCCAGTCGTGAGAGGAGTCAGGTCTGAAGTGTGAACAATCCAGAGAGTCGGACGTCACTTTCCTACTCTTCTGAGGTCGGCTGACTTTGAACAGACCTCCCAGCTCCTCCTCCTGTTCCTCCTGCGACGTTCCGGTGCCTTCTCCGACTGAATAGAGGCCAGAGAATTAGGAACAGCCACTGGTGGTACCAGAGATTGAGAACCACTGCTACAGAGTGTGAAGGTCTTACCTGAACCGTACACCAGCTTCCTGAGGTTTGGAGCAGCTTCCTGTTGACGCAGAAACGCAGCGGCTGCTTTCTCCTGCAGGTCCTCCTTCCACCTCAGAGCTCCTGACCAAGAAAGACAGTCAGAGACAGGGTCAAGGGTCAAGGATCCTGACTGCAGTGAAAACCAGCTGTACGAATGTTAGCTTAGCTTCTACCATTTGGATTATGTGTTTGCTAATCTCTTTGGCTAACCTTAACTTAGCTTTAGCTTCATCTGGCTGCATGAAATTGAAAAATGTAAACTTCAAAAGTTTAAATATCTTACCCTGTTCCTCCTCCTCCTCACTCTCCACTGGCTCCTCCTCGGCAGCTCCTTCTTCCTCACCATCTTCCTCACTCTCCTCCTCTTCCTCAGAACAGTGTCCAGAGTCTCCTCCTCTCCCCGTTTCCTCCTCCTCGTCACTCATCTCCAGATCGTCCTCACTGTCAGCAAACGCCGGCACCTCCTCAACCCCCTCTGTCCCTCCTCTTCCCCCCTCCAGTCTCTGTTTCTTTGCTGGTGTTGGACCAGCGTCAGATTTGGCCCGGGCTTCTTTAAGAAAAGACGACACCTGGTCATCCTCCTCTTCCTCCTCTTCCTCCTCTTCACTGTCTTCCTCCTCTTCACTGCCTTCCTCCTCTTCTTCTTCCACCTCTTCACTGCCTTCCTCCTCTTCTTCACTGTCTTCTCCCTCCTCCTCGTCCTCCTGGTCTTTGTCTGAGAAGACCACCTTCCTCCTCTCCCTCTGAGTGTGTGCGTCCCAGACCCTCTCCTCCTGAGGACCGTCTCCGTCTCTGACAGGAGGACAGAAACATTTTTACTTTCAACAACTTCATACTGACGTTTGTGTCTGTCCCTGGATTCAGCTTCAGAGAAGAGACAGGACAGTGGACACAGGGACAGAAAGGTGGGCTCAGAGTCAGGGTCGTGTTCTTACCTGGTCTCCTGCTCCATCTCCTCCTGGTCCAGTTGAGCAGAGTGACTGAACAGAGAGACTTTACTGGCAGCCATCTTTACGTCCAGAGCAGCGTGTGTGTCCATCAGAGACTGGACCAGTTCTGTGGTGGGACGGACTTGGTCCTGGAACAGAACCAGAGCAGGTTATCGCCACAGAACCCACACCCACAACCACACCCAAACCGACACCCACCCACCTGCTGCTGCAGTTGGACGTGATTGGCCGGCAGGTCGATGTAGACGGCGTCTTTGTCGTAGACGACTCCGCCCACTCCAGCCATGGGGGCGTAGAGCAGTCGCTCCTTTTCGTTCAGCGCTCTCTTTTTCTGAGCGTCAGGAAGAGGACAGGGGTCAGGCAGGAAGTTGACCTCTGACACCTGGAAGTCTCCGACACCTGAATGCATCAGGTTATAAAAGAGTAGTTTTTTTTTTTTAAATCAATATAGACATAGAGCAGACTTTATTGGTGGTAAAATAATCTTTGCTAATCTTAGCTCCAAAGGCTAAACATTAGCCATCTCTGAGCTAACCTTTGGCTCCTTTCTGCTTCACTGTTACTATTCTCTAGATTAACATTATTTATGTGACTGCTAATTTTTACCAGTTTAAGTTAACAGGCTAATTCTAGAGTGTATTTGTAACTAGCTTTTATGCGAACTTAAATATTTTCAGCCATGAATGGCTGGTTGGAACAACAGGGGGCGCTGCAGTTGTTTCTGTACCTGGGATGTGGATCTGGCCTTTGTTCTTCAGGTATGTCCCTCTCAGGTAGCCATACAAAGACACGGTCCTGTCACACTTCGGCTCGGTCCTTACTTTCTCCGGGTCAGTCAGGTCCTCCATTCTGGATCCAGGAGCAGAACAGCAGAGTTAGAGACAAAAACCACCTGGAACCAGAACCTGACACTGAAGTTTGGAAGGAGCAGCGAGAGACAGACCGGTCAACCAGGACGTAGGGGTGAGACGTCTGCCACACCAGAGGACGGAACTTCATAACGGAGATGAAGCGACCCAGGTTCTTCACCTCCTGAGTCTGGTACTCACCGTAGACCATCCCAGAGAGGTAGAACAGTTTGGCCCCCTGACAGAGACACGACACGGAGGTTAGAGACACTGGACCACAGCATGGGACACATTATTGGATGTGTAGACCAGAACATTTCAGCTTACAATATAACACAAATGTTTGGCTAACCTCTAGCTTATTTCAAGGCTTTCTGGTTAAAAAATGTTAGCAAAGCAATGTTTAGCTGTTGTCAATTATTTCATGTCAAGCTTCCATTTCAGTTACAGCTGTCGTTATTGTTGGCCCAGGTTCTACTGTTACCTGGTACACTTCAGTCCAGAAGCGGTGTTTGAGGTTCTTCTTGGTCTTCCTCAGGGTCTTGTTGTTCTTGAAGGAGTCCAGATGGGTCAGAACGCCCATGATACGAGGAAAACCATGGACCTGACAGATGTTGAGGAACTCAAACGTCTCCATCTCAAAACCAAAGCTAGCATCGATCAACATCAACACCTGAAGGAAAAAAAAAATCACAACCTTTAACATTTTATAAAAACCTTAAAATTCTATGATGCGATTAAAACAGTTCTCCAATAAAACAGTACCAGGTCGGCCACTTTTGCCAGGTCAATCATGGTGTTGATGTCATTGCTGCACTCCACAAAAGTCAGACGACGTTTCTTTCCTGAAGACAAAAACAACAGGTTTTTACTCAGCGATATCATCTAATCTGACTGAACATGTTCTGATGTTCTGATCTGTTCTAAACCATGAGAACCAATTCACCAGAGACAATGGTCACCGGTCCACAGATGTCCCCCAGCTTCTGTCTTGTGAAGTTCTTGATCAGGCAGCGGATCAAGGTGCTCTTTCCAACTTTTGGAGGTCCGACAACCACAATGACGACAGGCGGCGGCTCCAGAGGCGTCCGGTCCACCAAAGGGATGTGATGTTTTTTGGTCTTTATGTCCTGGGCCCTGCAGGAGACCTAAGTTTGACACCCGTTCTTCGTGGACACCATGGTGATAAAACGTGTGTCACTGACCTGTGGAAGGTTTTGGCCATCCGGACCGCAGACTGGACTGCGAAGGCTTTGGGGTTACGTTTGCGTTCGTCATCCTCGGTGGACGCTCCCTGATTCTTCAGCTTCTTCTTCTCTGCTTTCGGACCGCTGTGTTTCTTCTGGTGCTTCTTCTGCTCCTTCACCTTCCCGTCCATCTTGTCCACCGCTGCTCTGAAACGCAGGACGGCAGCAGCCAAACAGAACCACAGGAGAGCAGGGACGTCACGAAACTAAATCTAACCGAAGTTTTCTCAGGACCCAGTTGTCCACAAACCTGTGTTTTCTGCTGAAAATGTCGGTCGAACTCACAGACAAAACAACAACTACATGTTCTTTTAATGACCATGAGTTCTAGAACTATTCGACAAAAAGCCAGTTTTCCAACAGTCAGCGAATCTATATTAACATTAAAGCTACAAATAAAGCGTTCGTCGTCGAGTTTGAATTTAAAATTTAAAGAATTTAATAGATTTTAAAATACATTTTTAAAAATCGAAAGAATTAATTTACCTGCAGATAGAAAGCAGCAGCAGCAGCCACTGTTTTCAACTATATACGTGTGGAACGTAACCTCCGGCCCGGAAGTGTACGGAAGTGTAGTGTCGACGCACGAGTTACGGGCGGAAACAGGGACGAAGAAACGGTTCCGCAGAGGAACACTTTTTCATTTCAATACTTTATTTAAAAATTAAAACATATTACAATACATTAATGTAGAACATCGGACACTTGACATATTTTATGTATAAAATAGAAAGACATTTACGAAAAGCGAACCTTAAATTTCTCTTTAAATTCTTACAACACACACAGTAAGAAGGTTCCCAGAAGTATTTGAATATTTATTAGCCAGGAACAAGAAGAATGCTTAAAAGTGACAAAAAATAGGAAATAAATAGCAAAAAAAGTTAAAATATAAAAATTGACCTTTTAAAAAAATGTTATAAAAAGTTGAATGCAAAAGTTCTGAAAATAATGATACACTTTGACTTAAATATTTATTTATCACATAAATATTTAAGTTATCCACAAAACAGGGTTAGTTTCAAAACCAAAACTAGACAGAACTAGGCTAAGATGCTAAGATATATACATATACTGTATATATGTATATATATATATATGTGTGTGTGTGTGTATATATATACATATATATACTGTATATAATTTATTTATTTTTTCTTATTTTGGTCCTGGAAACATGAAAATAGTGGGTACGTCGACCTCGTTGCTGGAATAGCTACGTTCGTGGTTTGTTGGAGAACACAGACCCGTTAGAGCAGGTGAAGACGGCGACATGGAGGCGGAGCCTGTCGCCTGTTGGATGTTGCACAGACAACCCAAATCATGCATAAACCTGAAGACGTCGGCTCTGAAGCGCACGCCCACCAGAGCGTAAAGGATTGGATTGAGGCAACAACGGGCGTACGCCAAAGTACAGGTCACGTACTCTACCAGCAGCCCACAAAACTGGCCAGCCATCTTACGTGACAGAACCACGGCGTATGGGAGCTGGAATGATACGAACACCAGCACCAGCGCCACCATCAGCTTCAGAGTGCGCTGTCGCTGCCAACCCTTCCGCCGTTGCTGGGCCTTTCCTTCATACAACACTTTTGCAATCAATGTGTAGCACGTCACCATCACTGTCAACGACAAACAGATGACAGCAATGATGACGCCGTTGGCGACCATTTTGACCTGCGTGCTTTTCAGCGTTCCACAGTAAAAGTTCTGAGTTTCTTCAGTGGTCAGTTCTGCGACCCCTGAGAAGAGGATTTCAGGGAGACTCAGGAGAACAGCCATCACCCAAACACCTACGGCAGCCATCTTACCTCCTGTTAGAATCTGATGCCTGAATTTTAGCATGACCTGCGCTCGGGCCACCACCATGTAGCGGTCGATGCTGATGCAGGCGAGCAGCAGCAGTCCACTGTACGTGTTGACGGCGTAGCCGGCCCTGGTGACCTTGCAGAGGGCGACAGAGAAGATCCAACCCAGGTAAGTATCCACGACCTGTACGGGCAGCGTGAAGAGCAGGAGGAGGTCAGCCAGCGCCAAGTGGAACAGGAAGATGTCCGTCATGGAGCGGAGCTGCAGGCGGCGGTACCGAGCGAAGGTGGCAATCACCAGGCAGTTCCCGACCATGCCCAACAGGAAGACGAGGCAGAAGACGCAGGTCTTGAAGGTTTTGATGGTGAACTCGTGCTCGCCTGCCTCGCACCAATCCCGAGACGTGTTGTCGTAATCGTAATCTGTGTTGTTGCTCAGGTTCCACAGCGAGTAGTTGAGTGAGTCGGAACCTTCATCGTATGAATAGTCCATCCCTGATGAGACAAACAAGATCAGGACCCAAACACGTCTCATTCAGAACTGGAGGTCAAAATGTGAAAAGAACTGTTTAAACAAATGCTTCAACAACTCATTTTTTATATATATATATATATGGGGCGGGGGGGGACATGAAATGACTCCAGGGAAATGAGACAGAACATTGTTCCTCTGGACAGCAGGTCGAGGCCTCTGTGTTCCTTCAGACCATCAGAGAACGAGGTCCATTAAATTAACAACAAATAAAAACAACAGTCTTTATTGTCTGTGAAGAAGAAGAAAAAAAATGAAGTTACAAAAAGTTACAGTCAGAATGACTGACAAACAATCTAAGACATGCCTTATATTGGCCATGGTTGTTGAGCAATTCATCCACTAGATGGCAGTGCAGAGCTCAGAGTGCGTTCCCAGGCCGACTGTCTTAAGAAACTTGTAATACAAATAATTAGGAAAAAAACAATTGTTACAGAGCAGCCAGCTTAGTTAAATGCTAACCAATATTTAGCTGTTAGCTGCAGGATAGCCACCGTGACATTTGGAAAAAAAAAATTTCTATAGTGCAAAACAACTGTTGACACAGAGATGTTGGTGATGAGTCTGGAGCAAACACCCCGCTGTAGACCAGTCGTCAGAAACTGGAGAAGGAGAACAACACAGTTGCAATGGTGGCAGCAGCAGCAGCAGCAGCAGCAGCAGCAGCAGCAGCAGCAGCTCAGTCTGAATCATCAGCGTCTCCTATGACTCATTTTGCTGCTGCGCGGTGCCTCAGTGGCATCAGGTCGTTGGCACAGGGGGAAACCGTGGGCAGGTGAAGGTCCACAGATCAGTCAGCGTCGCGTGCCAACATCGTTATGAGAATGTTATCACAATCACAGCGTGACTGTTGTCAGCCTGTGACAGGTTCAGTGTCCGTGGTGCCTTCACCGAACACAGTGGGTGGAGAAGACTCTTCTGAAGGTAAGACAAAGACCTCCATCTCCTCCATGTTCAGGTCTGCTCTCTGCTCCACTGGTGTTTCCATCACACTTCCTCTGATGTTCTATCAGGACAATAAGATGGTTCTAGATCAGAACCCGTCCTCTCAGTGTTCTGAACAGGTTTAGTTAAAAAAGTGACGTTTGATTTGAACACCCTTCATTTTTAAGGGGTCCAATATAAATGTGATCAAAGGTCAGAGGTCACACAGCTCTGCACTGGACAGAGATATGGTGATTAACTGGTCAGAGCTGTTGGAGACTCAGAGACCGGTCTGTACTGTCAGTCTGTCATCAGTCCGACTGACCGTGTCGTCTCGTGTCGGAGGTTTACGGCGTTAGCTCGCTTCACTTTGAGGTAATGTGAGTGAGCGCCAAAAGAGATGATTTATATTTTATTTCAATAAAATATATATCATCAATATATCATATTACACAATGTCACATTAATGTTAATCTAAATGTTTTATTTCTTATTTCTGTTCTTTAAATTTAATTTGAAAAACGTTTTTTAATACTTTTTATTATGCATTTTTGTTACACAAATTAAAAGCCATAACTTTTGAGACACAAATCTTTAAACTTTTAAATCGGTTTTAACATTTTAAAATATCATTCATTGTTAAAATTGAAAATGATATATTTTTTATTTTTATATACTCAACTAGTCATATTTAAAAATGGAAATTAAATTTTGAAACCGAGTTTTTCTGCTCCATCATTTTGTTAAAGTTATTTTGACATTTTGGAAACATATTTGGAAATTAAACATATAAAATACTTACATTTTTCTTTCGATTTATTTCAAATGAAATTGTTTCATTTAAATTTTTCTCATCATTTGCAAAAAAAAAAAAATTCCAAATGATTGATTAAATTAAATTTAGCCTTTTATAAATTGTAATTAGAAAATTGCCAAATTAATTTCCCACATTTTGTATTTATGTATATATTTTTTTTAGAATAAGTGAAGTTCGTCAACGCAACTTTCCGAGGTTTGCGAAGCGTGAGCCTTTGAAGTGACAGGTTTTTACGCCAGTATTTTCAGGAAACTTTTGTCAAACAGAGAACATCAATATATGTGTCATATTTCAATGCATTTTCATAAACAATCATTACAGTAAATAACATCATCATCGGCATATGATCAAATGTAGTAAGACAATTCTTTTTTATTCCTAAATGATGATAAAGTGAAAACGTTTTGAATCCTTTAGTTACAGAAAAAATATTTTTGGTTAAATTTCTTAATTTAAAGATTCCGTGTGAAGGTGACAGACAGATACGTGTGTGTGTGTGTTCACACCTCTCACTTTGACAACTTCAGTCATTTCAGTTTCACAGTTTCCCACAACATCGAGAACTGGATGTGAATATTCATATTTATTTATTTATGTACTGTATATACAAATATATACTGTATATATAATAAAACCGTGTGGTACTTCCAGAATCACTACAAATGGTCAGTAATTAAAATATTTGGTTAAAGAAATTAATAGACTCCATGTGTTTGTCGTCGGCGTAGAGTGAAGTTTTTATTCCTTTTGTTTGTTGTTGACAGTTAATATATTGAATATTTATAAACAGTCCCGTTAAATCAGACAGGTTTTTTGAAATGTCTGTTTTTTTATCTTGAACTTGTGACTAAATGAGGAATTTATGGATTTCGATGTTTTTTTGACTCCAGTTCCCGTCTGCAGTATTTCAGAGGAAACAGAATACGACGTCCTGCACATCAGGTTCAGACTAACCCCGTCCTTTCAAATGTCATATTCACGAGTGTGTGCACTCCTGGTATAGCTATATTTGTGGGGACTTTTTTATTAATTATTATTAAATATTGTAACCGTGGGGACATTTTGTCCTTTTTTCAGGTGAGAGGGTGTTTTGAGGTTTAACATTTACTTTGGATTAAAGGTTAGAGTTAGCGCTACATTAGCAGTAGGTCATGGATAAGGATTTGTAGTGGACAATGTACAGGTAATAACATCATCGTCATCATATAATCTTATACATTAAAAATGATGATGATAAAGATAGACAATGCGTGTGGTGCAAAAACCAGTGTGTGGGTGTGTGCCTGTGTGTACATGTGTGTCTTTTTGTGTGAGTGTGTGAGAGACTCGAGGGAAACCACGAGCATCTGGATCATGAACCCCTCACATGCCTCATCACTCGCCCTCACTTCCTTCTGCAGAAGCAGAAGCAGCTGAGAGACGTGACAACGCTTTCATCACCGTGAACAGCAGCAGCCGCCAACGAGTCGTCAACGAGTCGTCAACGCACGCTCAATCACCGGAGCACAGATTTGACTAAAAGTCACAGTTCAACGCACATGTTTGAAAAAACAGGTCAAATTCACAACATTAGTAAAAAAGAAATGAAAAGTAAAGAAAAACTTTCCAACAGAAAACACTGATGTTCAAGATTTAAGATTCAGGGAAAACAAACAAAACCCAAACCAAACCATTCAAGGTTTTCAAGGTGTCAAAACCAAACTTTTTAAATGCACAAAAAAAAAACTTTTTCATTGAAGAAGAAAAAAACAAAAGAGGAAAATTTGAGAAAAAGACATGAAGTCTGTTAATGAAGAACTATTCTAAGGACAAAAATATATAAATATACTGTATATATAATAAATATACAGTATGTGTGTGTGTGTGTGTGCAGTCATCCTCACCTGTTCTGTTGGTGATGATGGTCATGTCCCAGCGTCTCTGTCTGCGTCTCTGAAGACGAACCTGAGAATCTGTCTTTTTAAAAACACCCTCACTGTGACCTCACTGTGACCTCTGTGTTTTTTATCTTGTTTTTTTCATCACATCTTTCTGACAGTGTGGCACTGGTACACACACACGCACACACACACACACGCACACACACCATGTGCTGGTGTCTCTGGTTCTTCTTTTTGTTTCTGCTAGTTTTTCTCACAGACCGTGTTTTTCTCCCTGAACAAAAGTCGATCAACGTTAAAAAACAGAACATAAATATAAATATATTTTGTCACCTGACGCTGAGGTGAGGGTTGGAGACCTGAGGTCATCAGCAGGGATGTTGTGAGACTCTCTCAGACTGGACCTGATGGACCAGGACCTGATGGACCAGGACCTGATGGAAGTCTGAGGAAGTGACAAAAGAGATCAAGAGAAACTGAAGGCTGCAGTAGAAGACGAGCACCTGGATGAAGAAGCAGCTCTGGGTGACGCAGTAGATGTGGACATCTCCTCCAGAGGAATCTGAGGAACACCAGAGCACCTGGAAGGTCAGGAGAAACGTCTATTCCTGAAAAACATTTGCAACAATCGACAAGAAGAACCGTGAGATTTCTTCAGTTCACACTCTCATTCACACCTCTGGTCAGTTCAGCGTGAACACTGACCTGGTCTCCAGTCACGTCTGTGACCACGGCCTGTGGGAGAACCTGCAGGAGAACCAGCCACTCTTCCAGTGTTCTGCCACCTTTTGGGTTCCTAAACCAGATTTTGGACCACCACCGTCACATACCAGCTGTTGCCACGTCTGTGGTTCTGGTGGCACAGTGTGTGTGTTGGTGTGTGTGTGTGTTTGACCTTCTTTTGCACCAGCTCAGGGCGAGGAGCTCCAAACCACAGCGTCAGCATCATGAGAACCTGCTGCTGGTTCTCAGCTTCACTGATGCTGAAACGACTGACGGTGGTTTGTGGCTTTCTCTTCACCTGTGACCTCCCCTGACCCTGTGTGTGTGTGTGTGTGTGGTTCAGGTCCAACAGTCATGACCAGGACGTGGACGACGCCCATCTGAGCTGACTTCATCTGAAGTTCACCTGAAAAACATTCCACTCCACTGTCTCAGCTTTTTTTGTCACAAACTCTTGAAACATTATTTTTCACAATAATAAACAATAAATATTTTGACAATAAAACATCTGTTAGCAACACAAGGTGGAGAAATATTTCATCTGTTGTTTAGTCAAAAATCATCTCAAAGCAACAATAATTGAATCATTATTGGATTTTTTTTTTACATTTTAAATCCAATTTTAAACAGTTTAGTAATCAGTTTGAATAAAAGCCTAAAAAAAGAGAGAGTTTGGAATTTTGATTTTTTTTATATTATTTTTATAATGAACAAATGTTGAGGGGAAGTCATGTGACCACGAACACTGACTTCACTGTTAGTGAGTTAGTTAGTGAGTTAGTTAGTGAGTTAGTTAGTTAAATGTACATTTCCATTTAAATCAAATCCTGGTCTCGGAACTCGACTGTTTTTTTTCCAGATTTTTCAGAGATAACTTAATAACCACAGCGACAGAAACAAAGACGACTCCACAATCGTCGGATCAGTTCTGGCCACTCTCTAACGGTTCTCTGTCAACGCTGGTATCTCTGAACCTCAGTCCGTTTCCTGATTCCACACAGAACAGGAAGTCTCCAGCAGGAGTTTCCTGGGAGGAGCAGGAAGTGGCCGGCATGGAACTTTATCTCTGGGTTGGTCGGTGGATCTGAGAGGAAGTGCAGCGTTTCCTCCACCATCACGTCTGTCGGCTGAAGAACGGAACGTCCTCCCCCACGAAAAAGTTCTGATCCAACAGTTCTCAGAACTTCACAGAGGAACTCTGACCAAATCTAAAATAAAATGTTGAATCTTGATAAAAAACAAATCTTCTCTCCAGGGAGAGTGTTCTGAGGATGACGAGGTTGGGAGTTCCTGCAGAGTTTTCCTTGGAAATGTGAATTCTTGGGGAAAAAACTTTGTAAGACACGGAACAACGTTCTGTGGATTCTGAGATTCTGAGAAACGTCATCATTAAGAATCCAGTCAGACTGAGAAAGTGATAAGTCAGAAATCAAGAGTTAAATTCTAAGGTTAGAACTTTTGTGCAGAGAACAGAAACGTCTGCAAGATCTGGAGAAAACTTAGAACGAAGTCCAGGTCTTTTCAGGATACATCTGTACAGCACTGTTTTTGTCACTTCTGTCAAGTACCAAGGAACTTTAATGCATTTTTAAAAAAGGTTTCATGAAGTAATTTGATTTTTCTTTCTCTAAGGCACCTCCCCTCACACACAGGCACAGGAGGCTGACCCCCCACCCCCCCTCCCCCTCCGTCCACCTCAGTGTCTCAGTCCCCTGACCTCCAGCTCAGCTCTCAGATCTCACCACCATGATCTCCTACCTGATCCTCTCACTTCTCATCTCAGGTGAGTTGATTTTTCACTTCTAGTTTTTTTTATGTCACTCTACGTCGATGATGTTTTTCTCTCTCTTTGGGAATTTCCTGTTTTTCCTTGCGTTGGTTTCCTGCAGCATCCGTTGTTCACGCACTCAAAAATGAACAATGAAGAAGAAGAAAAAAAGTTAGAATAAACAAGTGTTCACTGGTCTCTGAAGTCACTGTAGAGATCTGTCACTGTTGTTGTTTTATAAATGTTTACAGGTTTGAAGGAATCGCAACAAACAAACACCACAGAGGAAGAAACGTCGCTAACGAGAAATCAAACCGAGGTTTTATCTCCAGACGGTGAGGACCTTTGATCGTGTCAGTGTTGACAGACAAATATATGTCATTTGATTCCTCATTCATCAGTCACTCACTTCTGATTCAAGCGTTTCCTCTTCGGTTCCACCGCGGTTTGACAGAACATAGAACTAACTTTGACGTGGAAAATAAAATGAATTGAAATGATATTATTAAATGATTCATTTGTACTTTGTTTAGTAATTAATTAAAAAAAAATCTTAATCCAAGTAATATGTTGTATTTAATATATTTAATGTGGTGTTGTTATATGTTTATATATATATATATTTGATTATTGAAAGTTAATTAAACAACATAGTATATCAACAAAAAATGTATTTTGATGTTATTTTTCAAATGTAATGTTTTCACTGTCGTGATCAGAAAAGTTATGTCTTCATTAAAATATAAACAATTTAGTGTTCAAATTTAGAAAACTGTTTGAAAAAGTCAGTTCTGATCAGTGAGAGAAAGAGAAGAAGAAGGAGTGGAGACCAGGAGTGGAGACCAGGAGTGGAGACCAGGAGTGGAGACCAGGAGTGGAGACCAGGAGTGGAGACCAGGAGTGTGGAGACCAATCAGTGAGAGAAAGAGAAGAAGAAGGAGTGGAGACCAGGAGTGGAGACCAGGAGCAGGCTGTCACCTGGCTCCAGGTGAAGATGAGGAGGAGGAGGAGGAAGGAGTTTCATGGTGTTTTTTTCTTTACCGCAGCAAACACCACGTCTGGTTTCTCTGGAGATGAGAAGATTCAGCTGGAGAAGGAGCTGCAGGACAACGAAACGTCCGTGATCACAGAAGATGAAGGTCAGGATCCTCGTCCCTCCGATGCTGTTGTTCTTGTTCTGGAAGGTTCTTCATCTCCTCCAGCCTTTCCTTCCTCTAGCATTTTTACTTTACTGGCAGCAGCGTTTGTTTTCCTCACATGACCTCACGTTCTCACAATAGTCGCAGTGTCACAGTGCCACACAGTGGTCAGAAGTAGAATACAGGTGCCCCTGCAGCCCAAACCTCCTCCTCCTTCTTCTTCTTCTTCTTCTTCTTCTTCTCTGGTGTTGTCCATCTCTGCTGACGTGGTCCACTCTCATGTGTCCACGCTGCAGAAATGTTCCTGGATCAGGACAACTCACCTCACAAACCATGTGCACGGCAGCAGCTGTTGAACTACAGCCAGGAGTTTTGTGAAACAGAATTCTACTTGCAGATGATGCAGCTGGGACCTGACAAGTGGTGCCACCTGGAGAGCATCAGCAAGTACGACAGCCTGAGAGTTGATGCAGCTGTTGTTAATAGTTTGATTTGTTCTTATCTTCTTATTGTTATCTGTCTCAGAGCCTACAGCAGCCTGTCCATCTGTGTGGAGATGGTGTCGTCCCACCTGAGGTGCTTCTACCCGAACGCCGGCACTCAGGACTTCTTCATCCACATCCACTCTCTCTACTTCCAGAACTGCACCAAAAAGGACTTGGCTCCGGAGGACGCCCCTGGGTGGGTGGTCATGGTACTGACCCTCATTCCAGTCAGCCTCATCCCGGTCCTGGTCTATCTGGTGGTCTGGAAAAGTAAAGTCCAAGAGTGACCTAAGAGCCGACATGCAGCCCAGTCAGTTGTGTGTGTTAGTTTTAACCACTGTTTAAGGTCAAAGGTCAGTTACACTTATGCCATTCAGACTTCTGGGCTCATCTGGAATTATAATTTCATTAATCTGGAATTAACGCTGGTAATAGAGTTGCCACGACAACAACATTTTTGGCCAACGTGTATCTTGATACTTTTAAATAAACAGTAACATCTTTTTAGAAATGGGTGAAATAAATAGAATACCATCACAAATACTATAACCTTTGGTGAAAAAATACAGGAATGAGAGTTTATTTTTTTAAATGTTCACCAAAGATGAATAACTTGTACTAAAAATCTTTTTTTTTTTAAACTTAACATATATTTGATGTCAAGAAATGGCCAAAAACGACATATTATACTGTGAGATACTATGAAGTATTTGCAAAAGTAATTGTACTAAATTTAAAGTACTCCTCTCAGTATTTGTATTATATGTAAAGTACTTCTGACAGTATTTGTATTAAACTATGAAGTACTTCTATCAGTATATGTATCATATTTGAAGTACTTCTGACAGTCACACTGTACTCGTCACTCGTCAATCGTTCACGTGACTCTCTACAGCCAATGCACTGTACTCGTCACTCATCGTTCACGTGACTCTCTACAGCCAATCAACACGCCACGGAACATGTCAGAAGGACGTAAATATTGAGGAGCGCGCTCTGCTGGTCAAACGTTGTCATAGTCTGATATACACCGTTCTTGATGCTTCGTGATTGAAGCAGTTTGCCCTGAGCTGTGTACGACAATTTCCCCTTAACAATACGGCCATTTACGACTGATGGTAAATACTTAAACATTCTAAATCAAGTTTGAAAGAAAATTGATTACATTTACATCAAAATATCAGCGTGTAGTTACAAGAACAAACGTGAATTTTCCTCTAAACAGGACTGAGAATTTGTCAAAATGTTAAGGAGTCTAGAACCAATGGACAACGGACATGTACCTTACAGTACACAGTACAGTACACAGTACCCAGTACAGTACACAGTACAGTGTCTCGTTGATGTGACCGTCCATGGTGTGGTGGTGAGCCGTACCGGGGGTGAGCCAACGTCACAGGTGCTGGGAAACCGGAAATTAGCCATTGTCTGACAAAAGGGAGCACAGGCAGGTGGGTTATTACCACAGGACACCAGCAGAGGTCGCACGTGGACTTTCATCCTGTTTTCAATGGAAGCCCACTTGTTATTTAATAAGGACAATTGAAGAAGAGTTTGTTGTATACATTTTTATTTAAAATATGATGAAGGGGTAAAAAATAAATATTTTTACCTCTTCTTATTTGGTGATGTTAAAGCAGCAGTGTCTGAAATGCCCGTTTCACTTGCATGGACCAGGAACTAAACCACAGTCAATTCGATGGGAAGCTGAAGAATCTACTGCTGATTTCAAAACCCCAAAGGAAGTCCATCTGTTGTCTACAAGTCAAACAAGGACCAAACGTGGGTTTGAGAAAAGTTTGCCGATTTCTTGGCTCGCATGAAGTGCAAACAGTTCCCTCAACATAAAGTTCCTGATCCTGTGACACAAAACCAAAACACTGTGAGAAAAGCTCAGTGGTCCACTGGGTGGTGCTATTGTGACAGATATATCCTTAGTTGCTTACACACACACCCAACAAGTGATAAAGGGTAGAGGTTTCAGTAGGAAGGTCGACTGTTTTGCCCCTAGGTGGCAGTGAAGCTGCAGGTTGAGCTGACCTTATGGTTCCCAACACGGTGGTAAAACATTTAACAGTGAATTATTGGAAGATAAAACGTGTGAATCCCATGTAAGGACTGAACTGGAGTGGCGCTCTGGCCCAGAGGCACTGACTCTGTCATCGGTGTGGAACCCCAGGGTTCACCTCCTGGGCAAGATCAAATCCCAGTTAGGGCGGTTGGTGCCTTCCAGTGGACTCACCACCAGCAGGAAGGTTCACGAGGGGCTGGTGCAGTGCAGTGTGATTTGGGTGGCAGTCATGGAGACTGCTGCCCCCGCAGCACGGTAATGGATAAGTTGACGAAGATGAATGGATGGACAGAAATATAATCTTATTTTAAATATGTCCGATATCCATGGACTATTCAATATTATTACTAATGCTACTAGTTACTATTCAGGGTTAGTCCAAATGGTGCTTGAACACTTCATACAAAAATTAAATTTTTGGCCAGGTTCATCAGAGTCCCCCCCCCCCATGTCATAATGAACTGCTGTAGACCCACTGTCTGCCAGCAAATCACCTGACTCATGGTGGGCTTGGCTTCTGTATTGGATAGGTTGAATGACAAGAGGTCAAGGTCAGGTGTCTGAGGGAGGGCAGCATCGACCATAAATCAACTCCAGACAAGGACTTTGTTTGGTGCTGGTTCTGTCCTTTTGTTTTTGAAGTGGATAAACTTTGTTCCTCTGCCTGAGACCAAAAAAACGTCTCCACACAGATCTTTTCTTTTCTGGCACCTTCTGAGTTTTGTCTTCAGGGAACAACGTGCGTCTTTTGGCAGAGGCGCCCCCCGGAGGAGCGTGGGAGTCCTGTTTTGGAATCTTTTCTTTTCTTTGAACTGGATGCACCCTGTTCCTCCGTTTCCATCTAAAAATCCTCTTCCAGGCTGATTTCTTCTGCTGCGGCTTCTCAGTCTGATCTTTGGGGCTCGGCGGCTGATCGGTGGTGACCGGGTCCTTCTGGTTGTCATGTCTGTACTTTTTGGAGTCGTCCTGGGTAAGTGGATGGACCTTTTTCCTTTGCCATGCATACATGAACCTTTTCCATCTTGACTTCTTTTTATCTTGCCGTGACGTTTGAGGTTCATCTTTTGGGGGAAATTGGCGTTCCCTTTTTAAGGATTTCACTGAAGAAGCTGGAGAAGAACGTTTGACCTTTCCCTGTGATGGACAACAGACCCGCTGACTTCTGAACAGACCCAAAAACCTTTTCAACACAGATCGTTTCTTCTTCTTCTTCTTCTTCTTATATCTGCTGGGGGCTTGATGTTTCAACGCCTCCCTTGGAAAAACAAACACCGTCTCTTCCTTGAATTTCTTATTCGCCGTCAGCATGCTCTTGTCCATACTTATTTGTGTCATAATCCTTTTGATGGTTTGAGAACAACTATCTGCGACCACTGTCTCAGGGCTCAACATCTCCAAGTCAGTGTCAGCAAAGGCTTTCAGAAGCCCATTTAAGACCACTTGGGAAAAACTGCACAAGGAGGCCTCCATTACAGCTGGAGTCAGACATACGGTGGACTCCGGGGATGATTTAGGAACGATACGGGGGAAGGTTTGACCAGTTATCTCAGCTGGTGCAGCTGGTGCAGTATCGTCGGGAATCGCACCTCCCTTGGTCTGTGATACACTTGAGTGCTTGGATGACAGTTTGACTTCTTTATCTTTTTCTGACATGGATGAAGAGGTCACTGACAAGGCTGGTCGTTCGTCCAGTGCTTGGCCATCTCTGCCCATGAAGGCATCTGAAAACAGCTCAGGGCAAATATCTGCCACATCTGGAGGGGGCAATTTAATGTCCGGATCAGCTACCATAAAGCCATCCAACAAAGTCTGAGCAAAGATCATAAAATTGTTGTCAATTTGAGATGAAACAGAAGACGTGAGCTTCCTGCTCTCCTGTGAACTGGTAACATGGCAGGACAATGGTCTGGTCTGAGGAGATTGACAGGAACTGGTGGTCCTCTTCGGGACCTCAAAGGACCCTTCATCTAGAGAATAGCTGGAGGACGTTCTAGTGTCAGAAACGTCCTCATGTCCACCACTTTCTGAGATGGCAGGAGACATACTGTGGAGGTATTTAAAACTGCCATAAACGTCAGGTGTTACTGCTGCAGTGGTGGGTGAAGGTGACATTGTGGAAGGCAGTCTGCTGTCCCTCGATCCGGTTGAGGGCGTGGACAGCAGTCTTGCCCCCTGATCACTTCTCTGATCCATTGACCCAGCTGGAGACGTGCTGTAGAGCTGCTCCACAGAAGCTCTCTGGAGGTCCTCTGTCAGCGCTGCTGCAGAGAGGGCAGTGAGGGATGAGCTTGAGGAAAGTCTGCTCTCACATACATCATCATCTGTCTTGTCCCCTACCCCAGCTGAAGAGACACTGGCCTCGTAGCTCAATGTTTCCTCCATCTGCGGGGTGGTTCCATCGACCTCAGGTGTTAACGTGACATCCTCAGTTTTAGTAAAGGACTCTGAATAAACGGGGGACGGTGTTGTCCTGCTGGACCACGATAAGGTGGACTGAGTGGACGATCTTGGGGAGTAATCTGATGCAACAGAAGAGACGTCACAGAACCCCACCGTCTCGGGCCGACTGTCAGTTGTTCCTGCTTTAGCTCCATCCACCTGAGCTGCGGTCAGTCCAGGTGGGCTGTAGCCTGTTGGCCTTACATATATTTGGAAGCTGGAGGACGGTCTTGAGTCGATGTCTTCTGGCGAGATACTGGTGACATACTCCACCACCAGTGGTGCAGCGTCCTCAGTCAAACGTGGAGATACTTTACCGATGTCCAGAGTCCCACTGACAGCCCCCCCACTGTCAGGGCTGATGGAGGGGGGGGCAGGGGAAACTCGTTTCATAGTTTCCTGGGAGTCTGTAGAGTAGCTGGAAGACAGTGGTGTGTCTGACATGTCCTCTGATGCCGCTGGTGAGATGCTGCTGGCCACAAAGGAACCCTTTCCTGTGATGTTTGGTAGAGGAACATCAGTTACCCCGTCAGTGGATGTTTCCTCATCATGCACTCCTTGCATGAAACGTACACGGTAAGGTGCCGTCCTTCCCGTCTGTGACCTGACCTCGTGTGCTGGAGGACTGATAGAAAACCTATCAACTCCAGCAGGAAGCCCTTCAATATCCAAACTGTGATCTGACACCGGAGAAGAAACAGTGTCTCTGTCCTGAGGAGGTTCAGAGCCAATGTCCTGCAGCCCAAGATTGGACATTTCCACCTCCTTGAGGGCGGCACTTTGAACCACATTTAACATTAGCGGAAGGAAGTTGGTTAAAGCTTGGACTATTTGTGCAGTGGGAGGCGAGGCGGAGGAGGTGGACGCTCTCTCCTCTTCACCCTCCTCTCCTTGTTCTCTATGAACAGGGTCCTCTTTAGCTTCTCCGGTCTTTGTGAGCTGCTCTTCTTCAATTGTTGTTCGACTTGAAAAGAATTGATCTAAATACTCATCAACTTTCTGTGTGGCAAATGGACCGAGCATACTTCCATTCTCCTTATCCTCAGATATTGCATGTTCTTCTAAGCTCCAGTGATGGACCATCTGCATCATATTATTCACATCCTTCTTTGTCTTCTCAACTATGTCTGTCAGCCCTATGTCAACAGAGCCGAGAGCAGTTGCCACTGTCGGTTCCGCTGTAGGTGTGGTTGACATTGGAGAACCCGTTATCTTGCTCTCCTCTGATCTGGTAGAGTCAGTGGAGGATTTTCCCTCTGAAAGTGATAGAGATGTAACAGACAGCTTCTCAAACCCCCCTGAAGACGTCAGTCTCCTGCTGTCGTCTGAGCTGGTGGACGGTGGTCTTCTCCCAGGAACTGTGAATTCTTTGACAGAGCGTGAAAAAGCTCCATCTGGCAAAGGAGTAACTGAACTAGTGGATTCGCTGGAAGGTACTTTGTCCTCAAACTCAGAAATATCGTCGGAAACAACTGGTGTTTCAGGACCATGTGTTGAGAGTAGCACCACTGGTTCCATCTTTATTTGAGGCGAAACACTCTGTACCACATCCAGCATAGCCGGCAGTAAATTTTCAAGAGTTCCAACTATTTCATCTGTTGATGTTGTCACTTCAGCCTGTTTTACTGCTCCAGTGTCCTGGTCTTCTGACACCCCAACATATTGCTGTTCAGCATACTCTACACGTCTTGCAAAAAAGCTATCCAGGTAGTCATCCACCTTCTGTATTGTGACTGGACTAAATGTTCTTTCCTCCCCATCATTGGACGTGTCATAGTCCTCTGAGTCCCACTGGTGGACCATCTGCATCATGTCACTGACATCCCTTGTTGTACGCTGAACAATGTGTGTTAATGCCCTGTCGGAAACTGGCATTAAACTTAGCACTTCTGTCAAAGATGTTGAGATACTTGAACTTGCAACAGAATCTGCAGAGAAACTCTCAGTGACCGCAAGATCGGTTGTTTCGACCACATCTTCATCAGTATCGTAACTTTGAATGTCCTCCTGTCCAGCTGGGCTGACGCCTGCGTCATTGTCGACACCTAGAGCTACACTCATAGATTGTAAACTGATACAAAGACTTGAAGATGATCTTTCCTTAAAATCTCTGACATCCTCTGACAAACCTGGAGAAATACTGAAGGTCTCTTTGAAGCTCTCTGCACAGCTCTCTGAAGCTTCAGTGGTGGACATGAGCAACTCATCTTGAGATGAATGGGCATCAGGTACTGAATATAAACTTGTTGAAAGGCTGGAAGAAGGGGCTTCTTCAACACCTCTAAAATCTGAAGATATATCACAGGTCTCCTCAGAATCCTCAGGGCAGCTCGCCCCCATCTCAGCTGTTGACCATACTGCTTCATCTTGTGCAGTTGGAGCACCAAGTACAATATGTGAAGTTGTAGCACAGCTGGAGGACGATCTTCCCTCAAGTTCTTCAAAATCTCTGGCATCCTCTAGAAAACCCGGAGAAATACTACTGGTCTCCTCAAAGTCATCAGGGCCGCTCTGTACCTTCTCAGGGATGGACATTATGACCTCATCTTGTGC